CAGCAGGAGGTAAGATTTTGCGACTTTTTTGTACTTACTCTGAATTCTATATAATAATCCGTTTAAACTAAATGTGCATTGAGCTTACAGAATTAATTTATTATCTAAGCAAAAGTCATTTTGTCAATTACTAGGACCAGATTGGTATTATATCTGGTGCATTTTGGTGGACCCCTATACTTCAGTATGGTCTTGACTGATGGAGCTCATCTTGACGCTCTGTTTTGTTTGTTATTGTGCAATTGCTACTCGTTTTGGTGATTTTCTAACCTGGGCTCTGTAATGTTTGGAATTTCTGTTTGCAGTCTGTTGATTGGTGATTGTGTGTAGCAGTCATCAGCGATCATTGTTCTAAGCTATATCTGTTTTATCTTTTAACAAATGATGAATTTAATTACCGAATCTAGCTTTTTGTGAACTGAGCACTTATTTTAGACAACATCTTTATCATTTAGTAGTAAATAGGACTTGTTGCTTTCGTGCAATATATCATTGTGACATCATAAGTACGGTGGTCTTTTGGTAATCTGTGGTATTTGAGGTGTAGAGAGGTATATGGATTCAAACTATGGTTCAAACCTGTGGTTTTGAAATTCAAATTTTTTGTGAGAGAAAAACAGTATAGTGGAATCAAAACCATGAGTTTGAACCCATGAAGAACCCATATACCAAACATGTGCTAAGAGCTAAACACAAACGAAAACCATCCTGATTTATGCTAGTATTGATAGTATTTTCGTCCATGTGGAACCTTAACAAGTTGTTCCCGTGGCGCATTACTTACAACTTCAGTTAAGAATACGACAGAATATTAAAATAACAACAACAACAACAACACTGTATTTGGTCTCTATTGTTTGGTGTCAGATCATTTAACTTCTATTTGTTTTCAGGTTGATGTATTGAGTAAGTTGCGGCATCCCAATCTTGTAACGCTAGTTGGCGCATGCCCAGAAGCTTGGACTCTCGTCTATGAATATCTCCCAAATGGGAGTCTTGAAGATCGACTCTGCTGCAAGGAAAATACGCCCCCATTATCATGGCAAGCACGCATACGAATTGCTACGGAGTTGTGCTCTGTCCTCATCTTTCTTCATTCCAGTAAACCTCACAGCATAGTTCATGGTGACTTGAAGCCAGCGAATATTCTCCTTGATGCTAACTTTGTTAGCAAACTTAGTGACTTTGGAATCTGTCGCCTATTGTCTCATGGTGAAAGTTCAAGCAACAATACCACAATCTGCTGCAGAACTGACCCAAAGGGGACTTTTGCATACATGGATCCTGAGTTCCTCTCAACAGGAGAGCTTACTTCAAAGTCAGATGTTTACTCATTTGGAATTATACTGTTGCGGCTATTGACTGGGAGACCTGCTTTGGGAATAACAAAGGAAGTGCAGTATGCATTAGATAATGGAAAGCTAAAAACACTCTTAGATCCGTTGGCTGGAGACTGGCCATTTGTGCAGGCTGAACAGTTGGCTCGCTTGGCACTACGGTGTTGTGAGATGAACCGAAAAAGTCGGGCAGACCTTGGGTCAGATGTTTGGAGGGTACTTGAACCCATGAGGGCTTCATGTGGTGGCTCACCGTCATTCCGGCTGGGTTCTGGAGAGCATTTTCAACCCCCACCCTATTTTATTTGTCCCATTTTCCAGGTAGTTCCTCTGTTATCATCTATTTTCACATAGTGCATCCATATTTATTAGATCTCTAAGTAGTGTGTGACTGTAATTTTCAATTTCTCTAGGGTAATGGGCTAGTTGTAATAGTTTATGAAACAAATGATTAGTTATTTCTTGAACATTTGTACCAACTACCAAGGATAGATGGTTACTGTGTCACGTATTCTCTTTTACTAAATTCAAGTCCCACGATGAACATGAATATCAGTTCATTGCTTCATCTAGTAATTCATTTATGCGATTATAAACAAACTCAAACTCTATTCATTTGTTGCCATGGTTAAACGAAACTCATCGCTCTTAACGCTATTTGCAAACTCGTAGGAAGTAATGCAGGATCCTCATGTGGCGGCAGACGGTTTTACGTATGAAGCAGAGGCTTTGAGGGGATGGCTGGATAGTGGACACGACACTTCTCCTATGACAAATCATAAGCTGGAACACTGCAATCTTGTTCCCAACCATGCTCTTCGTTCTGCCATTCAGGAGTGGCTGCAACAACATTGATATCTTTATGATTTTGTATGTTCTGTTTGGTTAAAGAATTGGTTATAATTTATAGTCCTCTGCACACAAATATATTTACACAGTACACACGCATGCCTTGTCGCAATTGTCTTATAGATAACACCTTTTCTTCTCTTCTGAGTTTCTCAGTTGTAAGAGTGCGACAAAAGATTGTGATGATTTTATCTCAATACTGTTTGTATATATAGAAGACAGACCAACTCGTTTTTACACGATAATTTTCCGTCTTATTGCACAGAAGTGAATGCATATTTATCCTGGAGTGGCAGTTGATATTTCCTGGAAAAGCTTTCAAATGTAATGTGGATTTCGCCTTTTTTTGTTTTTTAAATATTCTCCCATGTCGTGGATCTGTTGAAAACATGAGGTTCTTTCTAATCTCATTAATAGCTATTTAAGAGTTTGTTTGGTAGGCGGTTCGAAACAAATTTTAAATTTTTTTTAGAGAAAACACGTAGCATAACTTTTTAAATTCAATTTAATCTCTTTCCTATTGTTAGAATAGGATATCAATAGGTTTTGTATTAGTTGTAAATAGAATATAAATAGGTTTATTACAATGAGAAATGTTAAAGATGATTCTTTTCATCACTCTATTTGTGATTCTCACTTTTCTTTCTGCTCCTTGTTGCTTTTACTTCTCTGTTTGCTTGTCGTCGCTCTCACTTCTCACTTTTGTCATGTGGCAGAGTTGTAATAAAAGGTAAAATAATAGTCTAATGTTTTTTTTAATCGGAAAATGACATAACACAACATGGCAAAAGGGATAGTGAGAGTGACCCTAACACTCTCTTATTATAATATTGTTGCGTATTGAAAGAAATAAATAAAATCCCCCTTTTTTTTTTCCTTCTCTTACGGTGTCAGAACTATAAACTCCCTCGGAAACAACTATTTTTTTTTTTTTTTTTCTTTCTCTGTCCTTTTTTTTTGGTCGACAGCTTGCTCGGTCGAAATCACCTTCTGAAGCTATACTGTACGTTTTTTTTTTTTTTTTTTTTTTTTTTTTTTTTTTTTTTTTTTCATTTCTCCCTTCCTCATCACTTTCAATAAGTCTGATCCCAATTTCACTGCTGCTCCAAATGGTGAAACGTAACAGAGCAAGCCACGAGTGAGTTTCAAAAGTTCAACATCATATCGGTTGAACGGAAGGAGTTATATAAAATGGTCAGTTTATGAAGTTTTACAGGACTTATATGAAGTGGTCAAAGTTCGTGAAGCTTCACTTTCTTGAAGAGAGAGAAAGTTGAAAGAAAATGCTGTTGAAAAACCATTTTGACATATCGTGCGAGAAGCTTCACATTCTAATATTTAGGTATTTGTGTTAAGGTATTCTGAGGTCTTAAAATGCTAATAAGATTCTATTTTGACTTCTAATTTCAACTTTAATAGTTTTCTAATATCTATATCTTTGTGTTAAGTGAGTTTTGGTGGTCCTAAATTTTTGAAAAGTTACAAAGGCCTCTTTTTGACTTCTACTTTTTCACTCAAATACTGTTCTAATATCTAAATCTTTATGTTAAAGACACGTTTGATACACCGTATTATATTGTATTATATTGTATTGTATTAGAGTATCGTATAATATTGTTTGTTATTGTATTTTTATACGATACAATATTTAATTTAGTAAATTACATTATACGATGTTTACTATCATATTGTATTTACATATTAGTTTGTAATCGGATAAAATTCAAGTCTAATCAAAACGTAGCTCGGCTCCAATCTCAACCAAACTCAAGATTGGGAGCGGGCAACGAATAAGGTAGAGTTGTTCAATATGGATATTTTTGCAAATTTTTTTTAAAATGGGGTTAAATTATAATTTAAAAAAGTTTTGGGCCTAAAATATAATTTTGAAAAAGTTAATGGATCAAAATATAATCTTTTAAAAAAATTAAGGGGTCAAAGTGTAACTTTTAAAAAATATAGACCCAACATCATTTCGATCTCGAAATTTAACCTCAGTATCGGTCCTGAAACTTGATCATGACTCTTGATATTTGTAAAATATTTTATATGTTTTATAAAGTTAAATTGCATAATACGATCTAATAAAAATATATGTATTATATATCATACTATGTATTATATTAAATTTGAATTTCTTATTAAACTACGATGAGGTTGGTCCCTCTTTTAATAGACTAAGCAATGAATATGAATGAAGAAATGAATGTCCGGCTCATACAATGTATGAAATGTTGACAAATATTGTATTATTTTTTAAATAATACAATACATAGCCCTTATATGATGTACTAAATATGTCCTAAGAGAGTTGTATATGCTTAAAATGCAATGAAAGTACTATTTTGACCCCAATTTTTTCATTTTAATAGTCTTCTAATATTTTGATTTTTATATTAATAAAGTTCCGGAGGTCTTAAAGTGCTATTAAAGTACTAATTAGAAAAATATCAAACGATAAAGAGCTTATAAAAGCCAAAGAAATTCAAAAGCATCTTTGGGAGTAAATAAGCTAAAAGCATATTTTTTAAGCCAATCTGAAACAGATTCTAAATAATAGTATCAACCAAAAGTTACTTCCAAAAGGACTTGCTAGATGAAGTGGCAATGAAAAGGGAAAGTGTGAATTACTAGCATTTTTTTTAACGAGGCATACTTTATTGCCTTATCATGTACGGCATCAGCCGTAATCTACGGTGTTAATTGTTGGTTTCTCAAATTAGATTTTTTAAAAAAATTGTGTAAAAATGTGGTATCGATCGAATCACATAAATTAAAATTTAATGTGATTATTATTTCATGTTAATTTAACTACAAAGATATTAAAGAGAAGAATAAAAATTTTACCGTCGCTCGATTAGGACGTAAATTTTGAACTCCTCCAACACCGTCTTAAGCTCTTAAATTTCAAGAACACCACGGTTTTTTCTCAACGTATCTCCGGATTAACGTGAACTCGAACGTGTGGGCATTCTAATGGGTTTCTCAACACATGAGATGGATGAATAGGGAAGCCACCAATAGTTATCACTCACATTTCTCAAAAGTATGTTATGACACTCAAGAAATTTTCTTTCGTTTTTCTTTTGTTCTCCCGTTTTTCCTTTTTCCTTTTCTCTGGAAAAAACCTTTTGTTTCTCTCTGTCCGGCAAAAACTACGAGAACTAATTTCTCTTCTTATTAGTTAATGTGCAGCCGCACATTCTCTTTTTTTTCATGGTGAGGAAACGTGCAACAACACGTTTCAACACGTTTCCTCCCACTTCTCCCTTTTTTTTTTTGAGGAAACGTGCACCTGCGCGTTTCCTTTCTTTTACATATATATATATAAAGAAAATTCTTTCTCTCCTATTACAAAATGACTAAATTCATCCATATTAATTTAAAATAATTTTAATATTAATTAATTGAATTAATTAATATATGTGTATTTAGAATTCTCAATTCTATATTAATAATCATAACCCAATATGATATATTCAGTTCACATCAATCTTATGGAGCCATTGAGGGGAACTATGAACATTATAATTTTAAGCTCTAACAATTTTGACAATTAATTAACACCTTAATTAATATATCAAAATTATTAATTCCAAATTACTCCACAATAAATTTAGAATTGCACTCTTAAAATAATAAAATAATTATGTTCACAGAATTTGTATTGTTCATTGATATAGTCACTACATACGAATTAATCCTCCATAAACGGTTCATAATTAAAGCTAGGTATTTTTCGTTAATCTCTTTAATTATATCTTTCTCTATAAGTACCATTGATCCTCTAATGAATACTATATTTTATGATCCAATCATAAAATTGAGCGCTCTTATTATTCAAGTCCTGAATCAACACTTATGGGAACCGTCCATCTACTTCATTATGAAAGAATGGATTTCATATTGTAAATTAATATTCCTGTCTATTTATTTTACTATGCTCCCAATATACCAAGACTTTGACACTATTCACATGTGTCATTACTCAATATGTTAAAGAACATAATATCATAAATAGGAGTTTATTAATTACTCAGAATTAAGATTAATTCATATATGACCATCATTGATTAATATTGAATACTCTATTGAATAACGGAATTTATTAGAGATTCATAATTAATCGCGTTCCGGTCCTATGTAATAATATTACATAAAATACTTTCATTCTAATAATCTCATTATTAACAATCTAGGATAAGATTGTTTCATTCAGAATGTAATGAGCCGCATTAGTAATTTTAAATTAAAGATCCCAACTTTAATTTATAATTACAGACAAGTTTAGATTATTTTATTTCAAACATTATCCTCTGCATATAACAATTATATACAATGTTTAAAGTTATATCTAAAAATAATCTAGGGATTTTGATATTTATAAAACATCACATGTATGCAAAATAATATTGAAAAAATTCGTCATTTCATTGATAATCAACAAAATATTTATATCTTATTTGATTTATGGGCATATATCCCAACAATCTCTCACTTGCCCTAAAATAAATGAGGCATGTCTCTAAGTCCCATACTTTCAAGATGTCTCTAAAAACTGCCAGCTGGTAATGTTTTGGTAAACGGATCAGCTATGTTGTTTGCGGATGCGATCTTTTCAACTGAAACGTCTCCTCTAGAAACAATCTCTCTGACCAAGTAGAATTTTCGCTCTATATGCTTTCGTTTGTGGTGGTTCCTGGGCTCCTTGGCATTGGCCACTGCTCCATTGTTGTCATAATAGAGTATGATAGGCTCATGTATATTTGGAACAACTTCCAATTCCTTCAGAAATTCATGAAGTCAGACAGCTTCCTTAGTTGCTTCACAAGCTGCTACATACTCAACCTCCATGGTTGAGTAAGCAATACAAGATTGCTCGATACTCCTCCATATGATGGCTCCATTTCCCAAAGTGAACACTGCCCCCGAGGCGGAATTGCGAGAGTCCCTATCCGACTAAAAATCAGACTCAGTATATCCAATATGAATCAAATCCCTACCAGAGTATACAAGCATATGGTTTCTCGTCCTCCTCAAATATTTGAGTATGTGTTTGACTGCAACCCAATGATCTAATCCTGGGGTTGACTGGTATCTGCTAACCAACCCTACTACATAGCATATGTCAGGTCTAGTACATAACATTGCATACATCAAGCTACCAACTGCCGATGCATAGGGAACTCGTCTCATATCCTCTTCCTCTT